CCATTCGAAGTGGCTGTAATTTGGTAGTTTGGGTTCTCATTGTGTAGCACATATTCGTACAAAAAAAAAACTATTATTATTGGACCACTTTTCAGGGTAGCCCCCACATAACGCTACCCTCCAATATTCAGTATTTTGGGGATTTTGGAAACGTTTTCCAACCGAATTGGCTGTAATTTGGCATATTGGGTTTTCATTGAATGGCACATATCCGCACCAAAAATATTCGTGATTTTACCCCCTAATATTCTTGATATTGAGGATATTGGACACACGACTGTAATTTGGTATTTTGGGTTCTCATTGTGTAGCACATATGTGAACAGAAAATTATTAATTTTGAGGATTATGGGCACGTTTTTTCCAACCGAATTGGCTGTAATTGCGTATTTTATATTCTCATTGGCTGTCAAATCTCACTACCAAAACCAGTAAGGAAAGTAGTAAAGTCGGACGGGCCCGACTATATGATACCCTTCACCACTATGGGTATATTAAACAGGACTATTAGCATGAAATTGGATGAAATAAAATATGTGATATTTATCTAAATGTGAATCTACGTAGATCTATCCATAAAGTATGTAAATCGACTTCAAACAAATATAAATGGGTCATCCGTTGGGCTATGTCTGTACTATGTATGTAGAAAACGCAACTACATAATTCTATGCTCAATTTTGTACGTTGTGCAAAATTTGATGTCAAACTGACTAACATGAGGAGTTTGATGCCCAATTTACTTGAAATCGGGCGAAAATATATATGGAAGCTCTATTCAAATATTAAGCGATTTCAAACAAACATGTCACAAGGTTAGGTTATAGTAATTTCAGAACGTTTTGTTCCTATTGGTTCTTGGTGCGTCAATTACTTAAAATCAATCTATAATAAACGGGAGCTATATCTAAATCTGGACCGATTTTCACGAAACAACGCAGGCATCACTCTAGGCTCAATTCAGTACGTTATGCCAAATTTTGTGCAAAACGAATGATATATAGGGACTTTGGTGCAACATTTACATGAAATCGGACGAAACTATATGTGGGAGCTATATAGAAATCTGGACTGATTTTCTCGAAACTTGGCAGACATCACTCTAGGCTCAATTCAGTACGTTGTGCCAAATTTCGTGCAAATCGAAGGATATATAGGGACTTTGGTGCACCATTTACATGAAATCGGACGAAACTATATATGGGAGCTATATGTAAATCTTGACCTATTTTCACGAAACTTGGCAGACATCATTCTAGGCCTAAATGATTAGGCTGTACCAAATTTCGTGCAAATCAAAAGATATATAGGGACTTTGGGGCACCATTTACATGAAATCGGACGAAACTATATATGGAAGATATATCTAAATCAGGACCGATTTTCATGAAACTTGGCAGACATCATTATAGGCCTAAATGATTAGCCTGTACCAAATTTCGTGCAAATTGAAAGATATATAGGGACCGTTTACATTAAATCGGTTATATATATATATATATATATATATATATGGGAGCTATATCTAAATCTGAACCGATTTTTCCCAATTTCAATAGGGTTCGTCCTTGGGCCGAATAAGTGACCTATGCCAAATTTCATCCAATTCGGATCATAAATGCGACCTGTACTTTGTTTACAATTTAACATGGACAGTCAGACAGACGGACGGACGGACATGCATAAATCGACTTAGAAAGTGATTCTATGCATATTCTCAAAAGGAACCATGGGTCTATCTCGATTATTTTTGCCTGTTACAAGCATATGCACAAAGACATAATACCCTGTACCACAGTGTGGTGAAGGGTATAAATATCAATACTGATCTGCGTTTTATTATAGCCCTATATTACGATAGCCCTACTATTAGATATTAGGTTGGGGGAAAAAGAAATCCATGGATCGAATTTCCTTCTGCGAAGGTGTCGTGTTCCACCAGGACAACGCTAGATCACATCCATATACAGTGACTGGCCAGAAACAAGCGGATTATTTATTATGAATTGCTTCCATATGACCAAACGCTTAATTTTGATCTCTACTTTCAACAACTGGACCGTTTGAAGATAGCAATTCACCAGACCAGAAACAATTGGCCAACAGAACAGTAGATGACACATGCATCTACAGTGACTCGCCAGAAACTTCGGGAGCTTGGCTGGGAAGTTTCAATGTATCCTCCATACAGTCCGGATTTGGCAATTATAATTTTTTTCTTGCACTGCAAAATTTCTTTAATGATAAAAAAAATTGGTATCTAGGGAGGATTGTGAAAATCGACTACTAGAGTTTTTTTGCAAATAGAGAGCAGGAATGGCAACAAATCATGCAACAAAACGATGCATTTTTGACCAAAATCGGACATTCCAAAGCATGTTAAATAAAGTCCTATAGTTGATATAAAAATTATAATGGATTTGTTTTTCCCCCAATAAATATTTTGAGAATTTCTATCATATTTTTCTTGCGTAGTTTTCGGTATGTTGAAGGTCATATCATTTGTATACCCTTCATCATGTATTATGTCTTTGTTACAGGCAAAAGGAATCGAGATAGACCCATAGTTCCTTTTGAGAATATACATAGAATCACTTTCTATGTCGATTTATGCATGTCCGTCCGTACATGAATTTTTGTGAACAAAGTACAAGTAACATTTATGATCCGATTTGGGTGAAATTTGGCACAGTTCACTTATTTGGACCAAGGACGAACCCTATTGGAGAAAATCGGTGCAGATTTGGTTATAGCTCCCATATATAGTTTCGTCCGATTTTATGTAAACGATGCACCAAAATCCCAATATTTTTCCGATTGAAACAAAATTTTGCACAGCGTACTGAGTACTGAGTCAGGACCTAATTCCTAATTGTTGTATGTGAAATTGTGTGGAAATCGGTTCAGATTTAAATATAGCTCCCATATATAGATTCGTCCGATTTTATTTAAATTGTGCAATATTTGTCCGATTGAGACACAATTTTGCACAGAGAACTGAATTAGGACCAGATTGATATATGCCAAGTTTTGTTGAAACCGGTTCAGATTTAGATATAGCTCCCATATATAGTTTCGTTCGATTTTTTGTAAATGGTGCACAACACTCCCAATATTGGTCCGATTGGGACAAAATTTTGCACAGAGTACTGATTGATGTACGCAAATTTGTGTTTTTTAAGGTCCTGTCATCGCGATATATTTTGTAAAACCTCCTTTTTATTATTCTTAACGTATTTGGGATGTTTTGAAGCCGCAATGACTATGTTTAATACTCCCATCTTAAAATTAGGACGAGAAAATACCAACTATTAAATGAAATACTGATGGAGAATGTATTGAATGTAAATGTGAAAAAATACCCACGAAAAAATGCCGTGGTTTATTGGAATCGTTGCCAAATCACTTATAGTATGTGGTAACCCGCAATTGTAACTATAAAAAGACGAAACGTGTTCTATGTAACAATTTTTTCTAAAATAATAATAAAAAACAAAATACTTTTTTGTGATAAACATTTTTGGGTTGTAATATATTTCGGCCGATATCTTCGAGACCATAGGTTTTTCGCAGTGATTCTTACAGAAATACGATCTAAATATGTCCACTAACATATTCCATCATACATAATTCATTTTACGTCTTTAGTATGAAATTTTGTCAAATTTGTATTGAGGCAAAATACTTATTACACTCACTGTATATATATATATTCATCTGATTGTATGTGAATGGAGCAATATACAGCCAATGTTCTCCAATTGAGACAGCATTCCGTATTGAAGTTACTACAGGTTAGTATGTGTATGGGTTGTTTTTATTTAGTTCCAATGTCTATCAAATATCTTCACGTTGATAATTTAATTTAATTTCAATGGTCCTCCAACAATGTCATGTCTATTCTGTCTAAAGGATATTGTACGTATGAGTATCTCTTGTATGTACCGAAAGTGGTGAAGGATATCATATAGACGGCCCCGACCGACTTTTGAACTTTCCTTACTGGTTTTCTCCTAGGAGTCCCCATTATTTTTAGATATTTTGATTGTCATCCTCATGGTGGAGGGTATAAAAAGTGCGAACTTAACATAGATTTTACTTGTTTAAACATCATTCTTCTCAAAGGGACTAACCAATGTACAGACGAAATGAGTTTCCTCACAATTTTAGTCTCATAAAAATTAATAAATATTTGTAAAATATTAAACTTTAAATATTTTTTTTTTTATTTAAACATTATAACTGTTTTTTATTTTACTTTTGACTTGTTAACAGAATTTATGAGTTAACATTCATGTTGTATAGCTACCATACTAATTACATATAACCTATATATAAATTTTAAATATATACAAATATATGAGTATTATTAATTATTTTAATTCATATATTAATTTGTGATAATGCACAAATTTCAATGTATCTTAGAATCTATTAAAAAATTTAATGATAATTTTATTCAAAATTAATTTTTATTAATAAATACCTAAAAATAATTACGTACAACTAAATTTTTCGTATATATTTCATTAATATGCATCAGAGTTTTTTTTAATATTTTGATTTTAATGAATACAAATTATTTGTATAAGTTATGAAAAAATTATAATTAATAATTGTATTTTCAATATATATTATTTTAGAAATTTATTTTTTTGGTTTAAATTCGATATGTGGATTTTAATATATAATTATTTTCTTCGTATATATTCATTTGTATATGTATTGTTATGAAATAATTACAAAAAATGAATACCCTATACAACTTCTTAAATGAAACTAATGGAATTATATATAATTTTTATAAATTTACTATAATTTGTTTTATTATTATTATTTTTTATATATAAATTAAGATATGGAATTCATTCAGTTTCTCTTCACAACAATATTTTTTCTCTTTCGTTCGTTCTTTCTCTCTTTATTTTTACAATAAATTTATTTCATTCTCCGGTGTAGTTTTGATTTCATCTTCTGTGGTCGCCTCATCGCCGCCGAAACTCAAACCCAAAGCCTGGCCAATGGCTTTGCGCAGTTGCTAGTAGGGTCGCCAAACATCCGAAGCTTTCGGAGTACGGCAACGTATGGGTCCATATGAACTGCTGGCCGATCGAGATGTATTGCTGACATCATCTAAATCGATTGTTTCCACAGGCGATGGAGATCTTTGACTAGATGTAACCGGAGGTGGAGTACTACTACTATTAAGCGATTTCGCTTGATCCGGCATTTCCGAACCACTATGTGAGACGAGAGTGACACAACGTTTTATTAAATTGACACCATGTGCAGCTTCTGCATTTCCTGGTAAATTGGTTGTAGGCGTTGCGGTCGTTGAAGCAGCTGCCGCTTCCACTCCACTATTTAAAATTGACTGGGCCTGTGTGGGAGCATTACTTCGAAACCATGGAAATTCATTATAATTCCCATACAGCTGCGTGTACAACCATTGACTCGGCTGTGGCAGCAGGGGATTTTGTAAAAACAACTGGGCCGCCAATGCCGGATTGAAGGCATGTGGCGGTGTAAAATTCGATGCAAACCCTGAAAATAATTCTGTTTTCCTTAAGGCTGGATTACGTTGTATTAGCGAGGTGAATGCTCCACCATTGCCGCCACCGCTTTGATTCAACGGTGGTGAAGTACTCCTCTGTTCATCATCCTCGTGTATTGAGGACGATTTTCTTGGTGATCCTGTCACCGATATACTATCACTTTCAAATCCGGCATCGATGTTATTATCATTATCACTGGTTGTTGTGGTCAAAGGCGGGGAGGTGGTTAGTGAATGATGTGCTAGGCCAGCCGAGGTGGTGGTGGGTGAACCTTCTGGGCTGGTTGTACTGTGAGCTGCACCAATTGCCGAAAGTTGCGAGAGCTGTGATAAATGGTGGGGATCTGAAAAAAATAATTAGAAGGGAATAATTGATGAAGTAATTCTGGGGTAATATTGTATTTGATAGATGAGGGTTGCCACTTATATTTTTAGTCCACTAATGGATAATTTAAACTGAAAATATGTCCCTCTGGGAATTTAATTCTTACAAAAATTTTGTGAAAAATATTAAAGAAAACATCTACGCCTCCTTATAGCCCTTGAAAATTATTTAAGAAAAAACCACGCCTCCTTACAGCTCTTGAAAATTATTTAAGAAAAAACCACGCCCCCTTACAGCTCTTGAAAATTATTTAAGAAAAACCACGCCTGCTTACAGCCCTGGACAATTATTTAAGAAAAAACCACGCCTCCTTACAGCCCTTGAAAATTATTTAAGAAAAATCCACGCCTCTTTATGGCTTTTGAAAATTATTTAAGAAAAATCCACGCCTCTTTATGGCTTTTGAAAATTATTTAAGAAAAATCCACGCCTCTTTATGGCTTAAAAAATCCACGCCTATTGGTCTTAAGAAAAATCCACGCCTATTGGTCTTAAGAAATTTCTTTATAAAATCCACGCCTATTGGTCTTAAGAAAAATCCACGCCTATTGGTCTTAAGAAATTTCTTTATAAAATCCACGCCTCTTTAAAAAATCCACGCCTTGTAGTAGTCCTTGAAAAAATATTCTTTAAAAAATCCACGCCTCTTTAAAAAATCCACGCCTTAAAAAAATATTCTTTAAAAATCCACGCCTCTTTACGCCTATTGGCTTTAAGAAATTTCTTTCTAAAATCCACGCCTATTGGCTTTCTTAAGAAAAATCCACGC